CCCTCTTTGAGAAAGATTATAGACAGGCTGAAAACATTTAGAGGGAGCAAGTTAGGATTGGAAATCAAAAAGTCTATGCTTATTTATTTTAGAGGGTTTGGGGGAAGGTCAACTGGATCTTAAGAATGCTGTTTAGCTGTTAGAGGTCCAACTGGTGTGCTGTTTCTCCTGCTGTGGCCAGAGGTCCTAGAGCATCTTCTGTCATCTTCACACATTCATCTCAGCTATGAGATAAGTGTACTAGTTCCCTTGGTTTCTCTCCAGTCTGGCCTATTGATTGATTATCCTGGAATAGTGACTCATAGAATCTGTGAAAAAGTAGGCAGAGGTTATCTACCATCTTCTCACCCAGGACCTGTTTCTAGTCATCTTAGCAAACAACATATCTGCTTTCATTTGGGAATGAGGAAGGATATAGTTTGTCATTGACTTTATTCTGAATCCTTTCAGGTCCTGAGATTATGAGCAAGTTGGCTGGTGAGTCTGAGAGCAACCTTCGTAAAGCCTTTGAGGAGGCTGAGAAGAATGCTCCTGCTATTATCTTCATTGATGAGCTGGATGCTATTGCTCCCAAAAGAGAAAAAGTAGGGCTTTAACTCAGGGGATTAGTGGAGGGGTTGAAAGGTCTTGATTTCACTTCTGACCAGATATCCTGTCCTGACAGACCCATGGGGAGGTGGAACGGCGCATTGTATCACAATTGTTGACCCTTATGGATGGCCTTAAGCAGAGAGCACATGTGATCGTCATGGCAGCAACCAACAGACCTAACAGCATTGACCCAGCCCTACGGCGATTTGGTAAGGACCCCAAATTTTCTTTAAACTCTGTCCTTGCTCATAGGGAGATCATAACTCTACTTGGCTTTTTTTTTCCTCTTTCTTTTTTAAATATATTTTTTATTGCTATCAGAGAGGAAGGGCGAAACATCAATGATGAGAGAGAATCATTGATCAGCTCCTTTCTGCAGGCCACCACTATTAAGTTCAAAACTCAGGCTTGTGCCCTGACTAGGAATTGAACTTATGACCTCCTAGTTCATAGGTCAGTGCTCAATCGCTGAGCCAGGCTTTGTTTAATCTTTTTAATCCCACATCTGTCATTTATCTAAATCATCTAATTCTGCTCATTTCTTGAAGCTTTTTGTAGGGAAAGGGCCTGGCTGCCCTCTCCCTTACTTCATGCCCTGTCTGGGGTGAACCATCCTGGAGTGCCTGAAACTGAAGGGTTTCTCAGGACATGGGACACATGGGCGTTTTGATTGCTAACATCCAAACAGTCTTGGGTGTAAACTAGGATGGTTGGTCACGTTAGGCCTATCCCATCTTCCTTTTGGATCAGAAATAAGCCCTGTGTATATTCACACGTTGTCCCACAGGTCGCTTTGACAGGGAGGTAGATATTGGAATCCCTGATGCTACAGGACGTTTGGAAATTCTTCAGATCCATACCAAGAACATGAAGCTGGCGGATGATGTGGACCTGGAACAGGTGGAGTAGTGATGAGAGCTGACCAGGAGTTTTAAGATATCTATTTCCAGGCAGTTGAAGGGAACTGTCTAGGAATATAAACTTAAGATGTGTGAGGAGACTGATTTTGATTTTGGGGCAGAGAAAAGGAAGTGATTTGAGATTGAATCCAGGAAACGAGTTGGCATGTTTGTTGATTGATGTTGTATTGGAGCAAACCAGAATTTTAAGGGCAGCTTTATTTCCAGGCCCCATATTCAGGTTTGAATACTTATATCTATCCTGTGAAAGGACTGCTAGTATAGGTTCTAGTAATTGGGAGGACCCAGCAATAGGAATCAGGGGAAGGGACTGACTAGGATTCTGTTGTCTTTGACCCTTTAAAGCAACCAGGTCTTCGAGAAAATATAGTAAGTAGAATTTCTCTCTGCAGGTAGCCAATGAGACTCATGGGCACGTGGGTGCTGACTTAGCAGCTTTGTGCTCAGAGGCCGCTCTGCAAGCAATCCGCAAGAAGATGGACCTTATTGACCTAGAGGATGAAACCATTGACGCTGAGGTCATGAACTCCCTGGCAGTTACAATGGATGACTTCCGGGTAAGGACTGCACTGCCATCTTAGGTTCACACGTGTGCACTTTCATGCCTTCTCACAAATTTCATTTCCAATTTTGCTTCTCTTTTTTTAGTGGGCCTTGAGCCAGAGCAACCCATCAGCATTGCGGGAGACTGTGGTGGAGGTGCCACAGGTAACCTGGGAGGACATTGGAGGCCTGGAGGATGTGAAACGTGAGCTTCAGGAACTGGTCCAGGTAGGGTATCTTGGTTCAGAGTGAATCATTGCTTGAATACTTTGTAATTGAACTGGCTTGTTTTGGGGTGTTGGCATATTCATTGCAGGCATTGTGAGAGTATAATTAAGGAATCTGCTATTCTCCAGTCTGAGGCACTAAAGGAGCCTGCTAGGAAAACAGGTTCTTTAGGCGATGGTAGAGGTAGGCTTCTGTTTGGTTAGGTTTCTTTCAAACTGCGGAGGTATCCCTGAACACTCTTTCTTTTTCCTTTTAGTATCCTGTGGAGCACCCAGACAAATTCCTCAAGTTTGGCATGACACCCTCCAAGGGAGTACTGTTCTATGGACCTCCTGGCTGTGGGAAAACCTTACTGGCCAAAGCCATTGCTAATGAATGCCAGGCTAACTTCATCTCCATCAAGGGTCCTGAGCTGCTCACCATGTGGTTTGGGGAGTCTGAGGCCAATGTCAGAGAAATCTTTGACAAGGTGAGCTACAAGCAGTTGGGCTATTTTATTCTCTTGCTTGATAGAAGTAGAGGCTGTTTTCTTTGGAAGAGTTAAAAACATCTCATTCTGGCAGCTCAGTTGGAACAATGAAGGTCTCTATTTTCCTTCTCAGGTCTGAGACCAGTGTACTAATGCTTGAGTCCATCTGTCCCTCCCATAGGCCCGCCAAGCTGCCCCCTGTGTACTGTTCTTTGATGAGCTGGATTCAATTGCCAAGGCCCGTGGTGGTAACATTGGAGATGGTGGTGGAGCTGCTGACCGAGTTATTAACCAGATCCTCACAGAAATGGATGGTATGTCCACAAAAAAGAACGTTTTTATCATTGGTGCGACCAACCGGCCTGACATCATTGATCCTGCCATCCTGCGACCTGGCCGCCTTGATCAACTCATCTATATCCCGCTGCCCGATGAGAAGTCCCGTGTTGCCATCCTGAAGGCCAACCTGCGCAAGTCTCCAGTTGCCAAGGCAGGTGCAAGATCATGGGCCATGGGGACATCTATGAGTCCTCAGGCTAGTGTGGGGTGCGGTTTGGTTTCCAGACAAGATTTCGTTGGGATTTCTAGGATTAGGGTTGTAAAGGGAAGATGGAAGATTTGAGGGTGTTGGGAGAATATAGAATTGGGAATAAACGGTGAAAGATGGGACAGATTGGAATTGGGAGTGCTGGAATGGCTCAAAGATTGTGTTTGTGTATCATGGGAGGAGAGACTAAATGCTAAGATATTCTACTTTTAGGATGTGGATTTGGAGTTCCTGGCTAAGATGACTAATGGCTTCTCTGGAGCTGACCTGACAGAGATATGTCAACGTGCCTGTAAGCTGGCCATTCGTGAATCCATCGAGAGTGAGATAAGGCGAGACCGTGAGAGACAGACCAACCCATCGGCCATGGTGAGTTTGTATTCTTTCCCCAGATGTGCCAGTCATGGGGGATAATCTTCACCATGCCCTAGAACAGCGGTTGCCAGCCACTCGGAACTCACAGACCACAAGTGGCCCGCAGACCACCAATTGGTGACCGCTGCTCCAAAGGTTTCCTTAAACCAGAGGTCGCCAACCTTTCAGACCTCGCAAAGGACCACCGGTTGGCGACCACTGCCCTAAAAAAGAAAAAGAAAGAAAAGAAAGAGTAGCTGAGGGTTAACTTCAATCTGGAATTATAAATGGATGGATAGATGGACACTTTCTCTACCTTTTGGAGGGGGTCTGTGACATCCCTCTTGTCTCCCATAAAAACTTAAAAACTACTGAGAAACTAATCCGAGAGGAAGGGAGAGGGAGAAATAGAAACATTAATGATGAGAGTGAATCAATGATTGGCTGCCTCCTGCACGCCCCATACTGGGATTGAGCCTGCTGAGCTTATGCCCTTTATCAGAATCAAACCCGGGACCTTTTAGTCCACAGGCTGACCTTTATTTACTGAGCCAAACCTGCTAGGGCAGGGAGCAGTCTTATAACTCACAGCAATTGGAGTGGCTTCTCAGTGGAAAAGATAGGATTTGAGCTGGGTTTTTGAGGGAGAGTACCATTTGAATAAAGAAATAAGCCCAGATTTCACGAAGATGGCGCCGAAAGCGAAGAAGGAAGCCCCTGCCCCTCCCAAAGCCGAAGCCAAAGCAAAGGCTTTGAAGGCAAAGAAAGCAGTGTTGAAAGGCGTCCACAGCCACAAAAAAAAGAAGATCCGCACGTCACCCACCTTCCGACGGCCAAAGACACTAAGGCTCCGGAGGCAACCTAAATATCCTCGGAAGAGCGCACCCAGGAGAAACAAGCTTGACCACTATGCCATCGTCAAGTTCCCCCTGACTACTGAGTCAGCCATGAAGAAGATAGAAGACAATAATACACTTGTGTTCATTGTGGATGTCAAGACCAACAAGCACCAGATCAAACAGGCTGTGAAGAAGCTCTATGACATTGATGTGGCCAAGGTCAACACCCTGATCAGGCCTGATGGCGAGAAGAAGGCATATGTTCGACTGGCTCCTGACTATGATGCTTTGGATGTTGCCAACAAAATTGGAATCATCTAAACTGAGTCAGCTGCCTAATTCTAAATATAAAAATTTTACACTGTAAAAAAAAAAAAAAAAGAAATAAGCCCAAATAATTGCTGCTGAGTAAGATTACAAAACTTGGGAAAACCTGGGTAATTTTAAGAGGGTATATGTTACTGAAAGTGAGGCCACTAGGTAAGGTGTAATTCAGATGTGGTAAACACTGAGAGGCCTTGATATTTGTCTTATCCGTTAATCCTCACCCAAGAATATTTTTTCCATTGATTTTTAGAGAGAGAGTGGAAAGGAGGGGGAGAGACAGAGAAAGAGAAACATTGATGTGAGAGAGAGACATCAATTGGTTGCCTCCTGCACCCGCTCTTACTGGGGCCTTGGATCTAGTCTGCAACTGAGGTGTGAGCCCTTGACTGGAACCCTTCATTCTGCTGGCTGACACTTTAACCACTGATCCAAACTAGCTATATTTTCTTTCTAAAACTTGGACTTACTGAGGCATAATCCTCATGGTAAAAATCTGTTTACATACTTTTTTTTTTAATATGTTTTATTGATTTTTGTACAGAGAGGAAGGGAGAGAGATAGAGAGTTAGAAACATCAATGAGAGAGAGTCATCGATCAGCTGCCTCTTGCACACCCCCTACTGGGGATATGCCTGCAACCAAGGTACATGCCCTTGACCGGAATCGAACCCGGGGCCCTTCAGTCCCCAAGCCGAGCCAAACTGGTCCCGGCTGTTTACATACTTTTTTGACAAATTTGTATAAGTGCTGTAGCTATTACTACAGTAGAGATAGAAATTTCTGTCATCCCAAAAACTTCCCTTGGACCATTTTAGTCAGTTACTCTTTTTAATAATTTCTTTTTGGGGTGTGGTTAATCCTCACTTGAGGATATTTTTTCCATTCATTTTTAGGGAGGGAGGGAGAGGGAAGAGACACACACGCATGTATTGGGATTGAGCCTGCAAACCAGGTACCTGTCTTTTACTGAATAGCAAATCTGTGACCTTTTGGTCCGCAGGTCAATGCTCTCACCACTGACCCACACCAGCCAGGGCAACCAGTTTCTTTTTTTTACTACCCTAAGTCCCTGGCAGCCATTTCTGTCCCTCTAGCTTTCCCCTTTTCAGAATGCACTGACAGGTTTTTAAGCAGAGCAGTGATTTAGTTGTATTAAGATTGTCTTGGTGACTTGCTTAGGTTGAATTGGAGAGGCAGGAAGACTGATAGGTTACTGTGGTAATGAGGGGCAAGAAGCCCAGGGAAGGGATCCAGGCTGAGTCAACTATCCCTGGCGGTCTGTGTTTGCCAACCCTACAGGAGGTAGAAGAAGATGATCCGGTGCCTGAGATACGCCGAGATCACTTTGAGGAGGCCATGCGCTTTGCCCGCCGTTCTGTCAGTGACAATGATATTCGAAAATACGAGATGTTTGCTCAGACCCTTCAGCAGAGTCGGGGCTTTGGCAGTTTCAGGTAGGTGACAGTGGGCAATGCTTAAATTGCCTTGTGGAACTACACAACCAATTTTGTGGGAGTCTTAAGGAGGCTAGAGGGGTAGTTGTGAAAATCCTATATAGGCACTGTCCTAACCCCTATCTTTAAAAAAAAATTTTGTTTTGTTTTGTTTTGCTTTTGTGCACAGATTCCCTTCAGGAAACCAGGGTGGAGCTGGCCCCAGTCAGGGCAGTGGAGGCGGCACAGGTGGCAGTGTATACACAGAAGACAATGATGATGACCTCTACGGCTAAGTGACGGTGGCCACTGTGCTTCGAGCTGGCCTGGCTGGACCTTGTTCCCTGAGGGTGGGGGCGCTTGCCCAGGAGGGACCAGGGGTGCGCCTGCGGCCTGTTCCATTCCTCAGTCTGAACAGTTTAGCTACAGTCAGACTCTGGACAGGGGTTTCTGTTGAAAAAAAAAAACCACAAAACAAAAGCGATAAAATAAAAGCGATTTTCATTTGGGAGGCAGAGTGAATTACCAACAGAGAATTGGGCCTTGGGCCTGCATCATTTCTCTTGTAATTTGGGGCAGTGCAGGGATCCTGTGTGGGTGTGAACCAAGGCACTACTCCCCACAGTAAAGCAACTGCACTTCACTCAGTGCTTCTTGAGCCCTCCCTCCTTCCCCCTACCCACCCTGGGCAGGAGGCTGAAGGGCCACAGTTGCTGGGTGTTTATATAGAGAGTAGGTTGATTTTATTTTACATGCTTTTGAGTTAATGTTGGAAAACTAATCACAAGCAGTTTCTAAACCAAAAATGACATGTTGTAAAAGGATAATAAACGTTGGATCAAAATGGAGCCTGAGTCCTGGCCCCGTGCCTGTTTCTTTTCTTGGGGAGGGCCTCGGGCTGCCCCTCACGGCCGAGGCATTCTTCCTCCAATGTAAAATCCATAAGACTGCTCTCTTCCCCTCCCGATTAACATCAGTGATACTGCCGCCCAGCCCCAGTGTCCTCAGCACCACTGGACAGGACCATGGTAGATGGAGGATAGCCTGATGGAGTTTCAGATGTGGGCAGTGTGGCATCCTTTACCTACATTTGAGGTGGATGGTAAGGCTAGGTCTGCAGAGGCCCCTTTCCTCACCAAAGACTGGATTGGGGTTCCCTCCAAAAACCTTAAGATTGCAAATAGAATCTCTGTCTCAAGGTGGATATTCTTTTGGTGCATCAAAAAATCCCAAACATTCATGCTCTGGTTAAGGATCACTTAAAATTGTGTCCACCTTTATTTTATGTAACTTGTATTATAAAAAAAAAAAAAAAATAGCTTTTTCTAAGACAAAATAATAGTATTGGGTGTGTTTTTTCTTAAATTAAACATCCTCCCCTGCTCTGTTTTTCAGATTGCTTGAATAGTTTTATCCAGGTAGAGTGTACTCTTCTTCAGCAGTTACCATCATAAATCATTTAGTGCCTCTAGGGTCAGTACCATAATGCCTTACCCAAAAAAGATTATGGTGCAGAGAAAATTATTCACAGTCAAATTTGTGTTGATTGTCCTACTACTTATACCAGGCTCTCATCTGGTCTAAACAGAAAATCTTCGCCAACATAACAACATTCTGTCTTACCCCTAGGTTGACAGCTTATCTTTAGGGCTAACGACAGGGAAAGATTATAAGTACCTCTGCATTAACCTATGGGAGCATAACAGAAGGCAAGTGATATTTTCCCACGAAATATGTAGAGATAGTAGAAATTTGTTGAAACAATTGCTTTGTTTTCACTTGTCACACAGTGTGTCTATATGGAATATAGTTGGAACTCTATAGATTTTTTTTTATATAAATCTTTATTGTTAGATTCTTATTTTTAAATATATTTTTATTGATTTCAGAGAGGAAGGGAAAGAAACATCAATGATGAAAGTGAATCATTGATTAGCTGCCTCCTACATGCCCCATACTGGAGATTGAGCCTTCAACCGGGCATGTATCCTGACCAGAATTGAATCGTTATCTAGTTCATAGCTAATGCTCAACCGCTGAGCTACGCCAGCTGGGCTCTAGATACTTCAGGGGAAATCAAGATAAGACCTGTTTCTAGTGCTGGTACTTGAGCTTATAGCAGTGTAGCTTTCTGATACAATGATTGACTGCTTTGTAAACTAAGAAGCAGTGAGGAGCCGAGACCAGTTTGGCTCAGTGGATAGAGCATCGGCCTGTGGACAGAAGGGTCCCAGGTTTGATTTTGATCAAGGGCATGTGCCTTGGTTGCGGGCACATCCCCAGTGAGGGGTGTGCAGGAGGCAGCTGATCAGTGACTCTCATTGGTATTTTTTTTTAATATATATATTTTATTGATTTCTTACAGAGAGGAAGGGAGAGAGATAGATGAGAGAGAAACATCGACCAGCTGCCTCCTGCACACCCCCTGCCGGGGATGTGCCCGCAACTGATGTACATGCCCTTGACCGGAATCGAACCTGGGACCCTTCAGTCCGCAGACTGACGCTCTACCACTGAGCCAAACCGGTTTCGGCCTCATTGGTATTTCTAACTCTATCCCCCTTTCTTCCTCTCTAAAAAATCAACAAAATATATTTTAAAAAAAAAACAAAAAAAAAAAAACAGCTTTGTGGGACTATTTGTCACATTTTATCTGCAGAAGCCTGCATACTTAAACCAAGAGGTAATTTGTATCAGCAGTCTGTCTTTTTCCCTGCAGTGTTCCCAGAAAGAAATTGGAATATAATCTTAACTAATCACTTCTTCCCATAGGGTAAGTGCTATGATTAAAAGATGGGTCTTTGACTAAGAATATGGCATCAAATAGATCACAGAGGACCAACAGTATGCCATAGATGAAACTATAAGTATAACATCTTGAGATATATTTGGATCCAAGATATTGATCCTACAAATTGCTGTGAGTCTAGTGGTTACATGATACCCATCAGGAACACTCTCCTGTCAGTCATTAATTTGGTCTGCCAATTATTCTTGTGAAGTGTGGCAAACATTAAATGTTTTGTTACTCTTGCCCAACATACCGAGTCCTTAAAAAGACAAGAATGTAGGACTTGGATTTTTCATAAAGCTATCTAGAGATGCATAGAGTCATTAAACATCCGTGTCAAGTAAGAATTGCATTGTCTTTGTGACTCGGGTGTGTGGGGGTGGTGGTGGCGGCGGCAATAGGTGGGGAAAAAGAAAGGACTTTCAGTTCCACCCTTAGCCAGCAGGTGGTGAGTTTTGGACTCAGGCCCTCATGTTATAAATAAAGCTTTGGAATAGAATAGTGACAGTGAGAGGAGACAGAGGAATAATATGTACTTTCTGACTGGCTGTTTTTATGAACCAAATATACAGAGTAAAGGGAATATTGTAGAATGAAAAGAATGCAGGTTTGGGAATGTGGACTTGATTATAGAATCTCTGTGAATGGCTTCATTGCCATACCATCAGGAAGCAAGTGCTATCAACAAGGTACACGTTATGTGGCTGCAAGAAGGGGTAAACCAAACTAAGATAGGAAAGGTAGTCTGAACTGGGCATTAAATAAAGGAAGGTGGGAGACTTGACATGGAGAAATGCAGGAGAGCAATTAGCAAGAGGGTAGAGAATACAGAAGAAACAGGTTGGCTAGCAAGGGAGTCCTGGAGTGAATTTGAAGGGGTCAGAAATCACATGAAGACTCATGCCAGGAATGAACTTTAGTCCAAAGATATCTGGGGGATTTAGACATGGAAATGAGCCATATTTCAGTGCTAAGAGGATTTTTTTTTTTTCTTATGACAAAAAAACAAAATTGACTTTACAATTAACCATGTGTATAGCATAGACAATTCACTTTCTTTTTTTTTCTTTTTCTTTTTTTTAAATATATTTTATTGATTCTTTACAGAGAGGAAGGGAGAGAGAGAGAGAGCCAGAAACATCGATGAGAGAGAAACATCGACCAGCTGCCTCTTGCACACCCTCCACTTTGAGGATATGCCCGCAACCAAGGCACATGCCCCCAACCGGAATCGAACCCGGGACCCTTCAGTCCGCAGACCGACACTCTACCACTGAGCCAAACCAGTTTCGGCTAGACAATTCACTTTCAAAATAACCTATTTTTTATAGAAGCAGTAATGTGCATTGTAGGAAATTTAGAAAAATATAAGCATGTTTTTAAAAATGAATATTCCCAATAATCAGAGACCACCATCTTTAGTTGCTATTTTTCAGTCTTTTCTGTGCACTTGTGTAAATGTGTATGTCTATACATGTGGTGTTTTAAAATAAAAATGAGATCATCCTGCTTTATATCTTTTTTAAACAATCACCTTTTCCTTTTATATATATATATATTTAATGTTATTGATTTTAGAGAGGGAGAGATAGAAACATCAATGGTGAGAGAATTATTGATTGGCTGCCTCCTGCACATCCCACACTGAGAATCGAGCCTGCAACCTGAGCATGTGCCCTGACCTGAAATCAAATTGTGACCTGATTTGATTCATAGGTGGACTCAACCACTGAACCACAGTGGCCAGGCAAGGAATTTTTAATTATACTGGTAAAATTGGACATTTATTTTGTGGGAGGTAGGAGAGTTAAATTTTTGCCTACCATACTCAAAAATTAGGTTAACCTAACATCCTATATAATAATTTCATGTACTGGTCCTCTCTACTATCTATACTGATAAAAAGGTAACATGCAAATGGTTGGGTCACCCTCGTGTGTAACGACTGATCAGCTGGAGGCTGTGTGCGCATCAGGCGCTGGTGGACAGGGACTTGCAGCATTGGGAACGGGCGGGGCTGCATCTGGGGCCTCCACGCACCTGCGCCAGGGGTCCTGAGGCATGCAGAGGTCGCAGGCCTCCACCATGGCCCAGCTTACCTCTTTGGGACAATCCATTGAGAAGTCCCAAATGAGTGGGCAGGGCCTACCTCTGGAGCAATGGATCATGGGGCTCCTGCACTGTGACAGAACACAGACCAGGCTAGGACACACCCCCCTCCCCAAGTGCATGAATTTCATGTACCGGGCCACTAGTTGATATATAGAAGTACCAGAAAAAAAAAATTTTTAGAAGCCACTGAAGGGAAATGTTGGTAGATATGATTATATAAAAATTTTGAACTTTGGTAGAGTAAAAATCACCTTAAAATTAGAAAATAAGCCACAGATTGGGAGAAAATAACTGTGATATACATAATAGGTTGTGGTAGGCAGGATAATGGCTTTCCTAAGATGTCCAATGTCCTAATCCCTGCAACCTGTGATTATACTGTTTTACATGGAAAAGGGAAATAAGGCTGTAAATGGAATTAATGTTGCTAACCAACTGCCTAAGATGGGAATAGTATCTTGGATTATCCAGGTGGGACCAAGTATTTGTAAATGTCCTTAAAAGTGGAAGAGGGAAGCAATAGAGAGCAGAGTGGTATGATATGAGAACTTGCCTTTGGTAGCTTTGGAGAAAGAGGCCTAGTAGCCACGGCTCCCTCTAGAACCCAGGAAAGACAAGGAATGCAACCCTGTCGTCGAAACTGAAACCGGTTTGGCTCAGTGGATAGTGTTGGCCTATAGACTGAAAGGTCCCAGGTTCGATTCTGGTCAAGGGCATGTACCTTGGTTGTGGGCACATCCGCAGTAGGGGGTGAGGCAGCTGATCAATGATTCTCTCTCATCGATGTTTCTCACTCTCTATCCCTCTCTCTTCCTCTCTGTAAAAAATCAATAAAATATATCAAAAAAAAAAAAAAAAAAAATGCACTCCCTGTCAACCCCTTGATTTTATTTTTCTGACAAAGTAAATTTATGTTTTGTGGTAATTTGTTATGGCAGCAGCAAAAAACTAATACAATATCCAAGAAGTAGTGCAACAATGGAAAATGGGTAAAGGATATAGACAGGCAATTCTAGAAGAAATCCAAATGGCCATTAAACATGAAAGGCACTTGTTTTTGTAGCCATGGGAATGAACGGGTTTGAGTTGACCCAGGGAGAATATGAGTAGTGGGCTGAGAAGAGGTGGAAAGATATGTGGAGAAGGGGGCCATACCCAGGCATACCCTGGGTCTGCCTAGACCAGTGGTCGGCAAACTCATTAGTCAACAGAGCCAAATATCAACAGTACAATGATTGAAATTTCTTTTGAGACCCAAAATTTTTAAACTTAAAATATATAGGTAGATAACATTGTTATTAATTAGGGTGCTCCTAAGCTGGCCTTTGCTAAAAACTCAAGGAAGGGGCATAAGGAGCCGCATGTGGCTCTCGAGCCACAGTTTCCCGACCACTGGCCTAGACCAAGACCAATTGTGCTTATGTGAAGATGTGTTTTTCTTCTGTTCACTTGCTGTGAAGTTCTCAAGGGCAGCACTGGACTATGCTCCCTGGCCTTTCAGCTTCACCCTATAGAGGAGGGGTGTGTGGATCCCAGATGGATCATCTGTCTGTGAAGGGCTTGAAAAGAAAGTTAAGCATGCAGAATCCTGAGCTCCCTATTTTAGGGACCCGATTCTGAAGGAATATACAATAGTTGCTGGAGAAGTTAATAGGGAACTGACATTCCCAGTACCCCAGACTCCAAAGAAATCATGAGTGGGATTTGTCTAATTTAGCTAGTTTATTAGGATTTCCTCTGCTTGTCTCCCCAGCCCTCAGGTGCCAATACTATCGGCTTTTTTCTCATGCTGACTGGACTTGGTGGGCAGGGGTCCATGGGTACCCAGAAGCTTGGCGAATATCCTTTGGAGACCCCTGGTAAGGGGAGGCTGAGGTGCAGGGGGAGAGAGATGTTTCTCTACTTGGGCCCAAGGGCAGCAGTGCTTACAGTGCCGAGGGATCAGGATAGCAGCAGCTCTCAGCTCTGCTCCTCGCTTATCTTGGGGACCTGCAGCCTTGGAGTGAAGGTGCTGGGGGAAAGCAAAGTGGAGAGAGCTCTGGCTCCTCTGCTGAGATCTTTGGAAAAGTCTGGCCTGGGCTGGATGGCTCTTTTCTGTAACTGTGAATGATCCCCATCTTGCATCCCCTCCTCGGTGGTCTCCTGATTTGGGTTTCCTGGGGTTCTCTCTCTCTTTGGCTGAAGATAGGACTGAAGCCTTGTTCTGTCTGTTGCCTGAGGCTGGAACCTCGGGGTTTGAGAGCCCTCTCAAGCCTGGGCAGTTCTTATCAGCCTCCATGGGAACAGATTGTCCCTGAAGTGAGCCCTGGGCCACCGTCTTTGCCTTCATTCTTTCCTCTCTCTGAAACCTTTGTTCTGCCCTACCAGA